GACCAAGTGTTACAGGCTCTATGAACACCCTTAGTCTTAAAGTTTGCAAGAGAATCCAATACAAACTAGCTTTGTTCACTGCTCAGCACTGTGGTAGTGATCTCCTCCCAGGTAGAGACTGCTACACAGTAGACCACATCGTGCTCTGTGAAACTGGTGTGTTCCTGGCAGAGGCACGCAAGTGGATAAGAGTTTTTTGAGGATTCTAGATTCCTGGAGCCTAGCCATTGTGCAAGAACTAAAATTACTCTTCACAAGGGAAAACAATACGATCTGGACAATATAGACACAATGTCGCCTGTACAGTCAAAAATATCTAGGCTTGCAAAGGAACAGAAACAAACCACCTGGGTCAAAAGAAATCAGCTAAGAGGAACTGATGAGGAGATACCTCGGATGTTAGATTTCAAGTACAAAGATTATATATCAAATTTAAGGTCTTGTTGCAAATGCAGGACGTGATGTTTTTTGAGATGAGGGAAACCCTGAGAAAAGACCTAAAGGAAATGCTAGTAAAAAGTAAGATATCTGAAACAAAAGATACGGAGCACTATGGTAGCAGGGAAGAGTGGCAGGAAGCGAAAGATTTAGCTTCACAAAAAACAGAGTTTGGGGAACAAGAAGAAAAAAATTCTAAATTCGCTGAGTGTACTGAAAACTTAATTTTTATAAAGGAGGAAATAGACGAGCCGAATTGTAAATGGGACAAAGCCAAGATGTCCACTAGCAATCAAGGTAAGAAATTATCCCAGAATGAGCCCCAAAGTTACCAAGCCATTGGAGGGATGGCAGAAGCCTCAGATATGAAAGACAACACATGTAGAAATGGCAGTCACCACATACAACTGCCCGACAAAGAGAAGCCAAAGCATAGGGAGGGTGGAGCAGTAAAAACAATGGAAGAAGAAAACCTCCAGATCCTCAGTAACAAAGAGAAGACCATCAAAGCATCAAGAGAAGAAGAAACTCTGATGGATGAAGGAGACATGCTAACCCTGGCTGCAGACCCTCTGGCATCAGCCACCTTGGAAGTCAGTAAACAGTGGGCGACATCTTCAACATTTTGAGAGAAAATGGCTTTGAACCTGAGTTTCTGTGTGAGTTCAAATTAGCATTTAAATATGATGGTGAGATGAAGACATTTTCAGACCTGCAAAGTTTACGACAGTTTACCAGCCAAAAACCTGTCATAGGAGAATTACTGAACTGTGTGCTCCGACAGAAGGAAAAACCAAATCTAGGAGGAGGATATGGGATCCCCATAAAAGGGGTAAGCATATTAATGTATAAAGTTATGTGTAAAGTGTAAGTAGGGTCTCAATGAGTTGCTTAGGCCTCAGCTTTTGCTGAGGCTGGCATTGAACTCACATCCTCTTGCCTCAGTCTCCCGAGCTACTAGGATTATAGGCATGTGCCACTGTGCTTGGTTACAAGATCTTATTGCAATAAACAGACAAGTGATGAAAGTAAGTAGTCATTTAAAATCTGTTATGTACAAAGCATCAGAGACAGGGATATAGAAGGACCAAGGTAGGCATAGACATCATGAAAATTTGTTGCCAGTACTACTAAAGAAGGTATGAATGTTGGAATAATCATAGACAAACTTGCCTTGCTTGGGGATAAGGCCTTCACAAACATGTCATTACTACAAGGCCCTGGGTTTGATCCTCAGCACCACAAAAAAGGAAAAAATGTTGAAGCAGTTCTCCCAGTACTTGCTCATTGTCAAAGTGGTAGTCATATTAAATTTAGAGAGTGAAGTGAAAATTTTAATTCTGTAAGAGCCATACAACTTACAAAACTTTTCTTTTGACTTTCAGGGTAACGCTTTTGTAGATTCAACACTGGAAGCTGGAGGAACAGCAAGTGATGGCTTGCATTCCTTATTCATCAAAGAGGTGAAATTCACTAGGCCAGAATTGAAGAGCTTAGAGACTCTGGAGGAAGAGTTTTCAGATAAAGGAATCCCTACCTTTGAGGTGACAGGAGAAGACTCAAAGACCCAGGAGGACTTCTTTTACAAGAGGGCAGAAGAGGAAGAAGGGACCTGTGCCATAGAAGAGGAGGGACAAGAGGCTTTGCAGATGAAATTTGATACCTCTGGGGAAGAAGAGTGGTGAGAGTGTGAGTGATGGGAGGATGAGGAGGAGGGCGGATATTTCCCAATATTACGTGAGAAACGCCGTGTTCCTGAGACAACTGTAAGGGTAATGGAGGGAGATTATGAAAAGATTATTACTTTCAATTGGGAATGAAATTCTGACTGAGGAGAAAGGAACTAGGGTTTTTAACATGGAAGACTGTTCAAACACACACATCCAAAGTCGCAGACCTAATCCAGGAAACAAAGAAACTATAGAACAATTGTGATTAGAATCTTCAGAGAGATGGAAGAAGAGATTGGAAAAATAAAAAAAAATGCCTTCCATATATCTTGGAAACTAACAATTCAATAGATGATCTGAGAAGTAGAATAGACATCCTTGAAGAAAGATTTTGTAATCTAGATGATGAGATGGAAGAATTGTCTAAGGATACCATACAGATGGCCAAGCAGATAATTAATAAAGAAACTCTGAGAGGGAGGATAGATTCAGAAGTGCCAACATCTGTGATAAGAATCCCAGAAAAAGACAGTGAAGAGAATAAAGCAAAGGACATACTGCAGGAAATAATTGAAGAAAATTTTCCAGAGCTTCGCAATTCTAGTCTTTGGATAGTGAGTGCTCACCAGATCCCCAGCGTGACTGACAAAAACAGACTCACTCCTAGGCATATCTTGGTGAAGTTTTTGAATTGTAGTGATAGAGAAAATCCTAAAGGCTTCTAGAGAGAAAAAAGAAATCACCTACAGAGGCACAAGAATCTGAGTGACAGCAGACTTATCACTGGGCAAGAAGTCAATGGAGCAACATCATAAAAGTGCTTCAGGAGAAAGGCTTTCACCCTAGAATCCTGTATCCAACCAAATTGGCATTTGATTTCCAGGGTAAAACAAAGATATTTTTTGATATGGAAGAATTTAGGAAGTTTATTTCTTGTGTACCCACTTTGAAAGGATTATTGGCGAAAACAACATAGGTGGCTGCAACTGTTGCTTTCCTCACCCCAACATATATTAGAAAATTGACAAATAAAACATCTCTGTCCAGAAAAAAATAAAAAAAGAAAAGTCACTAATGAAGCAGTGAAGAACATGCCACTCCCAAAGGTGACTCTCTAGCATATTGACTATTTTAAGTTAAAGGTACTTGAAAAGAAGTAGGTGCAAGAATATTGTGACTTATCTTGTTTCTTAAAAGCATAAAATGAAATTTCCATGTGAAATGCATGTATGATTTTGTCGGGATGAACCCAACTACTATTTATAACTACAAAAAAAATTTCCATGTGAAAGATGCCCTCCTCCACCAGGAAAAAACCCAAAGATGTCCTCCTATACCAGAAAGAAATTTTCATTCTTAAAATCAAATATGGGGAATTGAGCTGAAGGAAATCTGTACAACCCAACCTTGTTAAACTCACCCATATCTTCCTAGTCATTCTCTACCCAACTAACTCTTCTAGCCTGAGCCCCTTTTCCCTTGTCACAGTTTACTACTCTTCAGTCTATCTCATTGCATAAGCATTTAACTCTCTCTTTGGGTTTTCATTATCATAATGAAGGCTCCTTTGTCACATAAAACTTGTATTAAGCAATACCTGTGTTTTTGTCCTGTTAATATTTCTAATGTCTTTTTTTTTTTTTTTTTGGTGGTGCTGGGGATCAAACCCAGGGCCTTGTGCATGCAAGGCAAGCACTCTACCAACTGAGTTATATTCCCAGACCTTCTAATGTCGATTTAATTCCCAAGTCCAGCTGACAGGAGAGGTAAAATTTTGCCTTCAGAACTTAATGGGAAAGTATAGTGGAGGAGATGGTCTCAGCGGCAATAGCTCCAAGTCACTTGGCTTCTTTCTCCACTTTCTGCCTTTGCTTATATTAAATTCTTGCCTCTTTTCCTTGTAACTCTTCTACTAGAAGATACAGGTTCTGTCTAGTAGAAGAGTATCTTCTAGTAGAAGAGTTACAAGGAAAAGAGGTAAGAATTTAATATAAGCAATTTTAGGTTCTAACAGGTGAGGGAGAGCTTCTTAGTTAACAGGTTAAAATCCCAGAATATTATGATTGGCTTTAGTTAAGTCACTTGCTCATCCTTAGACCAATCACTGTGGCCAGAGTAGGAAGGGTTATATGCTTGGCAGCCCCAGGAGTAAGGAAAGTCAGGACTGAGAAACGGTGCTAGACAGACAAAAGCAGATGTCTCCTACAACAATGTACATACTACAACATGGATAAACCTTGAAAGTATTTTGATAAGTGAAAGAAAACAGTCACAAAAGACTATCTATTATATGATTCTATTTATATTAAGTGTCCAGAATAGGTTAATTTTAAAGACAGATTAGTGGTTGGCTCCTGCTGGAGCCATTGAATTGGGAGTGGTGGCCACACTCCATAGGCACTACTGTGCATATATGCAGCAATGCATAAATACACGCACGAACATGGGGCCTTTGGGGAGGTTCTGAAGGAGCAGGATCTGGAGGGCTGGTTCCCAGTGTCTCTAGGGCTATTAAGGCAGCAACGTAATCAGCGAACACCGGAGTCGAGGAAAAGTTCCGCACCCACGCGGCGGGGCCAGAAGGAAGCTGTGACCTGACTCGAGCGAGCGGCTACGTAACCATGGGGGTGGGGAACCAACTAGACCCGCCAGGCCGACGAGAATAGTTATCGTCCCCAGCACCGCCCGCGCGGAGAACAATGCACTGGGCCCTGCCCACCAAGCCTGGAGAGGCCGCGCCCTGGGCGGCCGCCGAGCCCGCCGGGAAATGTAGTGCCTACAGCCGTGCCCGCACCGCGCCGCCGCTCGCCGGCCGGGCGCCGCTCGCAACTACAAGTCCCGTCACGCTCCGCGGGGTCCTGCTCGCTAGGCTTCTGCAGGGAAGTGAGTGCGGCGAACATGGCTGAAGACTGTTCGGGCGTCCCAACGTGCAGTGGGATGGGTGGCCGGCAGGACCCGGTCCCCAGCCCTGGAGGCTGCAATTTCCCAGAGTACGAGCTTCCCGAGCTAAACACGCGCGCTTTCCACGTGGGCGCCTTTGGGGAGCTATGGCGGGGCCGTCTGCGCGGGGCCGGAGACTTGTCGCTAAGGGAGCCTCCGGCATCCTCGCTGCCCGGGAGCCTAGGGTCCGCTGATTCTGACCTGGAGGATTCCGCAGTGGCCCGGGATCTGGGCTGCAGTCTGGAGGCAGCGGCCGAGCTAAGGATGGTTTGCGGGTGAGTGTGGGTCGGGGACTTGGCATCTTGGCCAGGAGGGGTGCAGCTTTGCCCTCACGGTCCCCTGGGACTCGGGCCTGCTGAGGGCCTGTCATTTAGACCCACGATTAAAGGACCTCCTTGCAAAAGCTTTCAACCCCCAGAACCTTCCTGGAACCCTGGGAGAAGTCCCAGGATCCAAATGCATACAGTTTCTGCGAGTTAAGAGTAGAGGAACAACAAGATAGCAACATAAACGACTAATTTTTCTATTCGCCAATTTTAAAGGTCTCATTAATAAAGAAAAGCAGCCCGGGTAACAGCGACCGGTGTCTGCCAGACACTTTGACAGTGGAAGAATCTGAAGTAGTGGTGAGCCTGGAGGGGACTTAATCAGAGGAGTATTAAAACCCTTACTGTGGACTGTTGGGGAACCTCCTGAGTATGCTATTAGTGAAAAATTATCAAAAAAGTTCCTTATGTGAGGTGAAAATATAAAAATAACTTGTAATGAGCTCTTTCTTCACAGTACTGATTGCCTTCAATTGGTCTATGTCCTTTTCCTTATAAAATATCTGCATAGAAATTATTACCTTGATTTCCAGCTTCCTTTTAGCTGCCTGCTGGATTTTTCCTGACTTCTTAATTATTCAGTGATGTATTTAGGGGTGTGCTCTTTGTTTCTTTCTTTCTTTCTTTTTTTGATACTGGGGATTGAACCTAGGGCCTTGTGCATTCAAGGCAAGCATTCTATCAACTGAGCTATATCCCTAGCCCCCATGCTATTACTATTGACAAGATTTTTTGGTGACTTTTTAAAGTTTTCATTTCCTTCTTTTTGTTTTAGCCTTGATAAACTGAAATGCCTTGAAGAAGGTGAGGATCCAGAAGTTATTCCAGAGAATACTGACCTGGTGACTTTGGGGTATGGGTGACTTTGTTCTTGTCATATATTGTTTATTGTTAATTGTCAAGAATTGAACCCTGGGGCCTGCTAGGCACACAAACTATCACAAAGTTACACCACCAGTCCATGTACTATTCATTTAAACATTTTTTAAAAACAATTATTTTTTAGTTGTAGTTGGACACAATATGTTTATTTTTCTTATTTATTTTTTAGTGGTGCTGAGGGTCAATCCAGGGACTCGCACAGTGCTAGGCGAGTGCTCCACTGCTGAGCCACTACCCCAGCCTAATTTAAACGTTTTTTGAACATTGTATTTTGAAAAGTTAATTAATAATTTAAAAAAGTTACTAAGTAATATTATCCATATATCCACTTAATAAATTCAAATATTGTTACCATTTGGCCATATTTGCTTTAGCTGTGTGAATAATGAGGTGCAGCCATATGTCTTTTTCTCTTGCTATACCATTCAATAAGTTGCAAACATTATGATAATTTGCCCCTAAGTACATGAGCATATAGCTCCTATAAGTATCATTCTCGTACATCATCAGGGTCATATTCCTCCTAAGAAAATTAACAATAAATGTATAGCCCCTCATATCCAGCACACTTTCAAATTTATGTTTACTTTGTGTATTTACAAAGGTAGCTAATCTGCTTAGATTTGAGGTGCAGGCTAAATACTGTGAAAGTGGGTCTCAGTATCTGTGGTAGAGAACGAGTTTTTTAATTTTTAATCTTTGACAGATCCATATTTTTGTGAAATACAATTAAAATGAATGTTTTTGTTTTAACGGTACTGGGGATGAAACCCAAGGCCTTATGCATGCTAGGCAAGTACTCTACCACTGAGCTACATCCCAGCCCCACAAGACAAAAAAACAAATGTAAGTTCAAATGTTTATTGTTAATGAAATTCAACAGACATAAATTTACTCTCTGCTTGTAATGAAAGTTTCTAAATGCTTGCTTTTCTTTTCTGTTCAGATTGAATAGAAATATGTCTCAGATCACTTCCATTCTGCCAGCCACATCTTGAGAAGCCTTGCTTTATGATAATGCTATAGAGAAATTGTGTATAATAGTGAAATTTGTAACTGCTAGTTTATGGTCCACTGATCTTATACCGCCTCAGCTATGTTTTGTCATCCTTTATCCTACCTCATTCTGCTGTCTCCTCAAATATTTAGGCAGTCATTTCAACTCTGCCTTGGTTTCTTTTGTCAAATCTGTTTCGTTGAAACCCAATACTAGTGTTTGTATTAGTAATGTTTGGAGTACTATGAAAGGCTTCTGTCATCCTAAGTCCCATCATTTTCCCTTCTGATTTATTCACAATTCACTTGAGTATGCTGTTTGTTTAGGAATTGCCAGTGACACACATCTTTTGTGTGAAAAATTTTAAACTTTTTTATCTAGACATTGAAGCTTTTCACAGATAGCCCAAATCCATCTTCCCAGATTTTTTTTTTAAATTTTTTATTTTGAGACAGTGTCTCACTAAGTTGCTAAAGCTAGCTTTGACTTGTAATCCTCCTTCCTCATCCTCCCAAGCCACTAGAATTGCAGACATGAGCCACCATGTCCAGCCAGATTTATTTTCAACCACTTACTCTTTCACATGGCTCAAGATGCACATGACCTCTTTCCCATCTGAAACCTACTGCATCTTTAAGGCCATATGATTCCTTTGCAGAGCACCACAACCCTTTCCTCCCTTAGGAAATTGGTGTGTCTATATTGCCTTGAATTCTAACATGTCTAAAGTCTTGGGGACTCACATGAAAATGCAGATTCCTTCATCCATGTATTGTCCTAAGTCTGCTGTATTGCCTTGCTCCAGTTGTTCTGTAACTATTGTTGGATTTGTCTAAAATGTACATCTGATTGTGTTATTCTCTGGTTTAAAAATTTCTGATGCCCTTAGGCTAAAGTTCTGAATCCTTAAGTGGCTCACAAAGGCCTCTGTGGAATGGATTTTGCTGATCTTTTCATCTTTATCTCTGTGGTGTTCCATCTATACAGTGCTGTGTTTCTATTCCTTGGAATGTGCTCTCTCCCTCCAGGAATTTGCGTAGAACAATTACTCTTCCTTACCCTCCTGATCTTGCTGACTTCAACTCATCCTTCAAGCCTTAGCTAAATACTTAGATTGCTTGTATGTTTGTGTAGCACCCCATGCCTCTCTATTGTAGTACTCATCTATACTTTTAAAATTTTTTGTCTTAGCTGTACCTAAAAGTTCCATAAGCAGGTCCAGGGATATAGATCAGTGGAATAGTGTTTGCTTAACCTTCTTGAGGCCCTGGGTTCAGTCCCTAATTCCATAAACTATATCTGTCACACTTATTGCTCTTGTCCTAGATCTGTGGCACATAATAGGGAGTCAATAATTTGTAGAATCAGTGGAATAAATGAAGCTTTCATATGACTGTGAAAATGATTTTTAGAGATAGACTGAAGAAAAATGGTTGGCGATAATCATAAGCAAAGCAGTATTATGTTTTTACTATTATTAACACATTAATTGACTTAAAAGTATTTTATTAAGCCATGTTAAATAGCAGTGTTAAGACTACTTAACGCATTGATTCCTCTAACTGCTTTCTACTGCTAGGACACATGGGTCTCCTTCATTGTCTTCCAGTCCCTGCAATCTTAGGATATGTGGGTCAAATTATATATATCATCTAATGTAAAAGTTGTCAGTGGAGTACTTAGCTGGGATTGTTTTGACATACTGCAAAACTGTTGTGTTTTAAACTTAGCTAATATTATTATTTTTTTTAAATTTGGTTCTGGGGATTGAATTCAGGAACACTCGACCACTGAACCACATTCCCAGCCTTATTTTGTATTTTTTATTTAGACAATGAGTTGTTTAGTGCCTTGCTTTTGCTAAGGCTGGCTTTGAACTTGAGATCCTCCTATCTCAGCCTCCTGAGCTGCTGGGATTACAGGCATGAGCCATCAAGCCCGGCTAATGTTTATCTTAATAATCCTGTAAAACATTAGACTTATTGCAAAAGCCTAATTTTTTGTCTATTCCTCCTTCTGTAAATCTTCCCTCCCGACCCTACTAAAAACTTAATGTAAAAAAAAAAACCTTAAAGTAAGTGAATTTCTGGTGCCTTTTCTTCCCTGCATCTGATGAAAGAACTACTTGACTCAATTTATGCATGTAAGGGAAAAAAATGTAGTTACTAAAGATTTTATTCTTTGATGCATGCTACCCTCCTTAATCCATAACAAGTTAAATAACTATCTCCAATACTTTTGAAATTTTTTGACCACTTAAAACAGAAGATCTTAATTCTTAGGAATCAAAGAATGAGAATTATTACTACTGTACATTGTGCTATTAAAATTTAGCTGTTTCCCAAAAGTTTCAGCACCCTTACTTTTTTTTGGTACTGGAGATTGAACCCAGAGGGGCTTTACCCCTGAACTGTACCCCCGGCCTGTTTTTTATTTTGTGTTTTGAGATGGCATCTCACTTAAGTTGTTGAGGCTGGCCTTGAACTTGTGATCCTACTGCCTCAAGACTTCTGAGCTGCTGGAATTAAAGGCATGCATCACTGCACCCAGCAAACTCCCTTACTTTTAAACAATAGTAATTTCTGTTATATTATTTTGTCCATCCCCCTTACTTCTGTAGCCAAAAAAAGCACCATTTACTGATCCAGTATATACTAGAATATATACTGGACCAGTAAAAGGTGAAAAGGAGACATTTTAGAGTCCTGCAAGAAAAAGAGAACCACAAAATTAGAGGCTTTACAATTCTTATTCCATAACCAAAACAATCATGAACAATTTTTAAAAACTAAATTCTTATATATCTGAACTTTGACAGAAAAGAATACTGTTAAATTAGGAATCTTGTAAACTACCACCACAACTCCAAAGTAGCGCTAAAACAAACAAGAGGAAATAAAATCCAAAGATAATTTACTGCAGAAAATCAGGAAACAACTGTTTATTCAGATCAACTTGGGAAACTATTTCCTTTTCCCAGAAAATAACCAGGAAACAGAAGCAAGCTTAGGTCTATACTCAACACAATTGAATATACTCAAGCATTTGAGAGTATAGAAACACCTTGAATTAGAAATTTAAAAACTAAATGGAAGAAAAAATAAACTAAGTGAAAATGATGGTGAAAAGGAGAAATGAAAAAGGGATGTGTAAGAAAGAAATAAAAGAAAAAGGTAGAATTATAAGTGAATAAATTAGGAGATACCCTAGAGAGATACTCAGATGAAAATTTAATGAGAGTCTATGAAGGAAGGCTTGAAAACAACCAAGAGAATTGAAAATTATATAAAGAAAAAAAGTATAATGAGAGAAAGTGTTGATGATGTATTATCAGAGTCCCTGGAAAAGGAAAATAAAGCAGTGGAACAGAATTAATGTTTAAAAATAGAATCTAAGAAAAATTTCCATAAGGGAAACAAAAGCTAAAATTTACAAAGTGAAAGGCTCACTGCGTATGTGGGAAAATTAACCCAGAATTATCAACTTGGAAATATAGCTTAGTAAAACTGCCATATTTATCAGAGATAAATATAAAATCAGCAAGCCTTCTAGGCAAAGCAGAAGATAACCTACAAAGGCAAACTTACAAAAAGCAGAAGATGTTTTGGAGCTAACATAAAAAGCAAGAAGACAATGTAGCATTATTTTTTAGGAATTTATTTATTTTCAGAATTTTATTTATTTTTGTTTGGTTTGTGATGCTAGGGATTTAATCCCAGGGCCTTGCATATGCTAGCTGAGTACTCTGCCACTGAACTATGCCCCCAGCCATTGAACTAAGGACTTTATATTCAGTTGAGGTATATAAAGTATTGAAGATATGGAAAAAGTTTTTCAACATGCAAGAACATGAATAATTCCTGCAGCATTTCTGAGGAAAGACAGAAGGATAAGCCTCATCCAACCAATTGATGATTGAAAAATTTTCAGCAAAATGACTAATAAGGTGAGGATAAGTGTGAAAGACCAATGTA